CCCCCCCGCCGCCCGCCCGGAGCGGTGCTGGTTGTGGGTGGCGTGGGGGTATTTGGAGGATCCTAGATGTTTGGAGACTAGCAGGTGGGCGTCTTTGTCCGGCCCACTGCCTTTTCTTTTCCTTTTCGTATCATACGGCCAGCATTTTGACTGATTGGACCATCCATCTTATGCTTATTATTATGTCTCCTACCCCTGACTCAGTACTGGGGCGTGACCACGCGGGTGCACGGCTCGGACAGACCCGCCCAGACACATATGCTTCAGCACATGTAAATTGATACTCCCTGTTGCCTGAAGAAGCGCTTGTGCGCGCGAAACGTTGCATGAGCTCCTCCATCTCCAAACCTTTCAACTTTATTTACCACAGTACCTAATGAATTGTTATCTTGTTGCTTATTCTGGACGTTTATATCAATATTATATCAATCATTATACAATGTATATATACTTTTGCCTACATGTTAAAATTATGTACTAAGTAAGGTGTTTATGGAGTGAGCATACAAGGACCCTACTATCTAGCTGATTTTTTAATGGATCTTTTTCTTTTTAAATATTATTACAATTAAAATTAACTTTTTATACGGATTTTTGCCTTGTGGAATTGTGTTTTGGTGCCTACAAAACCCCACTTTCCTTTTTCTTTACCACTATAAACTCCAGGGGTGTGGCACCTATTATTCAGATCCAGATCAAAAACAATTTATTCTACCAATTCTTATAAGTAGCATTTTCAAATTCTTACCTGAGGCAGGGCAGTAAGTTTATTGGCTGTCTGTAGCTGTTGCATTGTCTTATTAACAAAACAAAAACAAAAAAAGAAAGAACGGAAGAAAATACAATATTACCATGATATGTAGTGATTAAATGACCTCAGAGTACTATCACATAGGGGCCGATTTAGAAATCTTATGCCCAGCCACACACTGGGCGAATGCCATTTGCATGACATTCCCTCCACTTGATGGAGCACATACAGACCCCATGCTGTTCAATTGAGATTTTTTTTTTTAACAACTTGAAGCAGGCAAAAAACATAATACCTCAACAGAGTAAAGCACATATACATCAAACATTTGATAGGATCTATATATAATCTTCCGCCCAGCCACAAACAGGGTGAATGTCGTTCTCACGGCATTCCTGCCACTAGATGGAGCTGAGGAGCATAGTAATTTATATGCTTCTTATCCTCATCTAGTGGAAGGAATGCCATGCAAATGGAATTCACCCAGTTCAAAGATGGGCGGAAGCTTTATCTATCTATATATTATAT